TAGTCTAAAAAAACAATTCTCCTTTCTTTGCTCTTAGTGTAGTAAAAAATAGAACCAATAGAGGTAATAAAAATAAAAAAGAAATAAAACTAAGAAATTTCAAGAAATATTGGAAGAAATTATAAATAAGGATGACAAAGTTAAACCTTTGGAATATTACAGACTATTAAAAAGCCTGAGCAAACAAGAAATTGGAAACATTATAAAATTATCGCTTAATAGTGAATTTCTAAGAACTGTTAAGAATAAAACTAGACTTATAATGTTTTGTTTATTAGCACACTTTTATTTCGGATAAATAATAATACAAAAAACCTATTATAAAATGTCACAACATAATAGTTGAATACACTAACAAAATATTTAATGAAATACCATAAAATACTCAATTCCACATATATTAGGAGATCTATTATGAGCAATACGAACAAATGAGAACAGATTACTCCAGTTAGGATAGTGTTCAAATATAACCAACCCTTATCTAATAAGATATACAATTATAATAAATTCCTTGAAAATCTCGATAACGAACAAATAATTAAAATTATAAAAAATAATTGTGTATGTAGTAATGAGGTTTACTAACAAATACCTATATAAGGAAATAGGACATATAGTAACGGGAGATCTTGATATTATACAAGAAGATACACTTAAAAATCTCCTCAAAAAAGGTACTAAATACAGAACAAATAATAATGTAACTAGAAAAGAAATTAAAAAAGTATACGAGGAGATAACTAAAGGTTATGTATGCTTTTGTAAAAACAAATATAAGATTACTGGGTAAATTATAACCCAGATCTTAAAATATATATACGATACCTATCATAAAAAAAATTAAACCTTTGTTAAAATTTGAAAAAAACGATACGATCGAATCAGTTCCTATAACATTATCAAAAAATACCAAGAAAATTTCATATTCTGTCCATTGGACAAAACTAGTAATAATTATGGCATAATATGCAAAAAATTATTTACTAACATTAATGAATGAAATGGGAGTAATGTACGACTCATCAAAGAAACATTTGAATATAAAAATACATACAATACCTACAACTTAATAACACATAAAGACTACAACACTATAATGTTAGAACATAAAATATTCTGTGACCGTAACAATATGACATTCATGCAAAAAAATGAAATACCTATAGTGTATGCGCTACTAACTGCATAAGAATCCAATCAAATACCGACTCATCACAGGAGCAAGGAGCAGCAGCATTACACCATTAGCCAAAGAGCTGCACACCATATTTACATACATTAAAAAACATTTTATCAACTATTGTGATGTTATTCAAAATAGGAACAAAACCATAAAAACATATTGGTCTATAGATAATCCTACTATATATAATCCGCTAAGTTTGTCTGTTGGTGTGTGTGTGTGAATGTCTGTCTGTGTGTGACCGGAAATTCATAACTTCCTTCAAAACAGCAGTGGAGCGCTCAAATTGATAGGTGATGTAGGAGGTCGGGCAGGAACACTATTGGTAGGTGGCAGGACGTGATAACAGCTGATAAGATAACATGAGGAGCCTTAGAAGGGAAGGATCACCATCTCCATAACGCGCGTCACAGCGACGCTAGGACTTTGGTTCCAAGAAGTAGGATTATGGGCAAGATGGGAACATCATTGGTGGGTGGCAGGAAGTGATAACGGCTGATAAGATACCATGAGGAGCCTTACAAGGGGAGAGTCACCAAAGTAGCGCCGGCCACGGCGACGACGAGACGTTGGTTTCAAGAAGTAAGATAGGGGGCAGGATGGGAACAATATTCATGGCTGGCAGGAAAGTGATAACAGCTGATAAGATAACAGAAAGGAAGGGTCACCAACCTGATAACATGCTTCACAGCGACGCTAGGACGTTGGTTCCAAGAAGCAAGATAGTGGGCAAGATGGGAACATTATTGGGGGGGGGGTGGCAGGACGACAAGTAATTTAGAGGTGCTTAGGTAAAATTAGTAGTGGGAGATAAGTTCTGATAGTGTCTGACAAGGGCTTTTAGGAGTCGTATATTCTCAAATCACCGTGGCCAACGAATCAGTGGGCAAAGGTTCAGTGAGCCAACATGTTCCTATGTTTCTATCCCTTGGCGATATAGTCGGATTTGATTCGACCGCTAAACTGTAGTGTCAACAAAAAGTAAAAGCCCCGAAAGCTGCTCAAATGATGTACTAGGATGTGACATTTCACCATGATATCGATGTTATTACCCTCGAGACTCTTCCAACCGCTAGGCTGTCCTATTTCCAACGAATGGCGAGTGTTGTCAAAAATGTGATAAGCGCCAGTCATTGGTAAATGTTCATTGAAAGGGAAAAATACGATGAAATGGGCCGTATTTCGAAAAATGGGAATTAGGACAAGTGTTGTGCTCCGCAGAAAAACCCTCTGTATCATAGGTTCAGCCATGTGCACAGTACTACGCGTTAGCCAAACTGGTATTAATATTAGCCATGAACTTACTAGTATTGCTCATAACAATTTAAAGATTTATACAGCAGAATTTACAGATATGTTCACTAATTTACAACATGATACCACTATCAATAATATGCTAAAAATTGTTAAACTCTGTTTTAAAAATGCAGAAAAAGAAAAAATTGCTATTAATGGTTTCCAC